TCAGTCTTCATATCCACCAGTGTACAGTGCAACCAGGATTTCTCTAGTGTTTCAGAAACAGCCTGTGTAGCATGACTCATGAGATCCACCTCACTCTGGCCTATAACAAGTCCAGCAAAGCAAAATTTTGAAGCAATGAACTGTTCCTCAGACCACTGTGGATCGTTACTGGCATCATCCTTAAGAAACATCTCCATTTTAGGAGGGTTAAACCTATACCCTTCCTTAACACCAGGATTTCTTTTGAGAAAAGAACCTGTTGCTATTCTTCTACAAATCCATGCAACTGAGATCATTTCACACTTAGGTTCAATTAAAGCTGTCTCCCCACATTTTCTGGTGAAAGCAGTTTTGATACCTGCTTCCTGTAACACCTGAAAAAGACAACTAGTAATTTTATTTGAGATTGCAGCTTTTCCTTCCAGGTCATTCTTTCTGGCTGCATTTCCTGCTGAAATCTAGTCCTTGGACTACAGCAGGACTCTTCCTGGATTATCTAACAATTCATAACATTTTTTAAAAAGTTTTTTTATTTGTTTGTTTATACATTTATTTTTAGAGAGATGGGAAAGGAAGAAAAAGAGAGAGAGAGAAACATAGATGTGAGAAACATCGATTGGTTGCCTCTCACATGTCTCAACCAGGGAGCCCGCAACCCAGGCATGTGCCCTGACCAGGAATCCAGCCAGTGACCCTTTGCATCACAGGACAATGCCCAAACAACTGGGCCACCCAGTCAGGGCCAATTCATAGACCTCTTAAGTTTTACCCTCATAGAGTTTTTACCAATGTTCAGTACCTCAGCTGTCACCATGATCATGGGTGGGTTGGGGGCAGCAGCCAGGCTAGGAGGAGATGCAGTACTCTATAAATGGAGCGAGGAAGGGATTCTGTTTCTTTCTCTTTCTCTCCTTTTCCTCCCCCAACTCCATCTCTATCTTTGATTTTCTCATTTGACCTAGTCCCATTTATGGTACAGTTCATTCTTTCCCCACTGATGGATCATGCAACCTCAACCATATATCACGTGTTTATATATATGGGAGTCTGTTTCTGAACTTGCTATTATGTTCCATTGTCTGTTTCTCTCTATAGCTGATTCCATGCCACACTGACATAATTACTACAGCTCCGTAGTAGTCCATTTTTTCTTTCTTTTATTAAAATTTATTTCTCATTATAGTCGACATAAAATATTAGTTTCAGGTATACAGCACAGTGATTAGACATGTATATGCCTTACGAAGTGGTCAGCACAAGTCTAACACTGTATCAGTCTTCATATCACATAGAGCAAGTCCTCCAGCCTTATTCTTAATCTTCAAGAATGCCTTGGCCACCTTTAGCTCTTCCTTTTTCTATATAAATTTTAGAATCAGGTTAAGTTCCACAGAAAGTTGAGGTTTGATTTGGATTTCATTTATTCCATAAATCAGTTTGGGGAGAATTATCATCTTAACCATATTGAGTCTTGCAATTTGTGAGCTTACTCTCTCTCTCTTTTAAAATTCCTTCCTTGCCCTGGCTGGTGTGGCTCAGTGGATTGAGCACCAGCCTGTGAACCAAAAGGTTGCTGTTTGATCACGGCACATGCCTGTGTCGCCAGCCTGCTTCTGGCTGGGGGCATGTGGGAGGCAACCAAATGGTGTTTCTTTCCCTCTTTTCCCCTTTCTCTGAAAATGAATAAGTAAAATCTTTAAAATAAATAAATAAATAAATAAATAAATAAATAAATAAATAAAATGTCTTCCTTAATATCAGTAATATTTTATTTTCCTTGAAGAAAACTTACATATCATACTAGATTTATTCCTAGACACATAGCATTTCATGCCATTGATGATAGTACCTTTGAAGCATTTACTTTCTGAAGGCTGTTTCAGAAAGCTTATAGGACCAAAACCAGGAACTCTTAATGCTATGACCAAAGATTGAACTTCTCCACAGGCTACAATAGACACTCAAGAGTATTATGTTTTCCTGAAAAGACATTCAATTTTTTTTTTAATTTCTTTCTGTTTGTTCCTGAGAAATAGAAGTAATCAATATTTATAAATTGATTTTTTATCCAGCAACCTTACTACATTCTCTGAGTAGTTTTAATAGCTTTTATATAGACTCTATTGGAGTTTCATATTATCTTCAAAAATGACAATTTGTTTCTTTGCATTCCTTAGGGCATTTACTTCTTTTTCTTATTTACTGAATTGGCTAGGGCTTTCAGAAAGGCACTGGCTCCAGAGGTGACTCACTTATGTGTTTTAGATTCTTCTTTTGAAGGTACCATCAACAGGATTTGCTGACAAGTTGTACTTAGACTATGACAGGAATCAAAGTTGAGTTTAAGGTTTTTTGCCTGACCTCCTAGAAGAATGGTCTTGTCACTCACTGTAGACAAGGCCAGAGGTTTGTTGATAATATAATGAAGGTAACTAAATGAAGAAAAGCAAAAACTAATACTTATCGGCAATGAATGTTCTAACAGACTTTAAGCTGGACTTCTACTTTTGAAATAACTCACTGAAGGAAAGATTTAAACTTGTACCAGTGCTCTCAGTGGGGTTTGACTTGTGACTTCCTGTTCAACCACTGCCCTCTGGAGGGGCTCATCAGAGAGCTGGGCAAAATTAAAATCCAACCAAAAGAAATTGGGATAACTTTTCCCTCCAGCCCCAATCTTTTCTGTTTCCGGCATGCAGACATGCGCGCATGTGCACACTCACACACAGCCCCCTATCTTATTTTGCAATCTTTCCCCAGGTCAGATAATTATAAGAGAACCTCTCATCCAGGAAACATGGTTACGGCAATGCACTTATAAGCAGCTTGTCTGAAATGATGTCCTAGAAAGGTCAGCTGCATTTCTGTGGGGTTAACCTAAAGAGAAAGAAAAAACAACAAAGGGGTAACCCCTGCAAAAGAGATCCTTTGTCATACAAAAATACCTGTTTTCCTAGATGGGCCCCAAATTTCACCGTGTCTTTCTGGGTATTGAAAAGCCTGAGGTGAGCTTGCACAAAGAAGCAAGACTCTAAAGAGCTAGCACATTTAACAATCCAAACCACCCAGTTATTCATCACACCCAGAGGGTTATGTCATTGGGGTAAGGGTGGAAGTCTGTTGGGAATCATCCCGCTTGGTTTCAAAGACTGTAGCCTCGTCAACAGGTGAAAAGGTCCCAAGGCTGGAGCTGAGCAAAGAGGCCTTGGGAAAATAGGCTACTGAGGAGACAGAATCTGTCCCCCTGGCAGGGGAGCAGCCCCTTCCTCCCTTACATCACCTTGCTTGGCCCCAGAGGATGGCTGGCTAGTCAATGATGGGTAATACCCTTCAATGGCAGGGGCAACCTAAGATAGGCACAGTCGCATTGGGGGCCATCAAGGAGGACTTGGGGGACACGGAGAAAGGGCAAAAGACCCTCACCCCTCGTCTTTGACATGGCTGAAGTCCTTACTCTATCTGAAAAAAAGTCTCCTTATCTCTTGGCTGCTCTCCCCACCGCCTGACTGGGTCAGTGACACAATACTAAAGGCAGGTACAGCCCTAAACTGGATCGTGGGGTTCCTGGGGACAATAGGCCTGGAAAAGGAATGCATTAAATCCTATGAAATTTATTTTGCTAAGAATGCCCTAGAGTTAACGAGTACTGATGTTTAGACTCTAGTAAAGGGTCTGATCAGTTTCCCAAGTTTCAGGGCCAAATGGGTGACACCCCGTCTACCAGACCCTGACCTGAGGCAAATCTTTGCATTCCTTCAATCACAGCCTTTTGACATTGATTGATGAGCTTTGCTGTACACCCCTGTGCATATCGTTCTCAATAAAAGCCACTTAAAGAAAAGGGTCCGGGGCATTCTCCACTAAAGGGAATTGCCACCACCCTCTTTTCCTGGCAGACTGAGAAACGCCTGAAACGACTTACTTTATTTTCCTCCACCTGCAGGGATGCAAGGGGACTCTGTGCTGGATGTGGTAACCTCCCATCAACAGTCCACTCCGGCTCATCATTTCTACCCCTTACCTGCCACCCAACTTCAAAAAGGTAAGCTCCAAAAAGGAAGCGAGACTGTCCTGTAAACCTCAGTGACTGCGATACAATAGGCATAGAATAATAGTTTTTAGAATTGACATTTTAAAGGTATTTTAAAAATTGCCTGAGTTAAATTTTCATTTATTGCAATTTAAAATTAATATTATTCAAAATAGATGAGTCAAGAAATAGCGTTGTTACTACACAGAGTGAAATATCAGAAAAAACAACCAGGGAGTTAAAAAACTTTGCCTCTAAGGAATGGAGCTTTAGTAGGGCCAGGGCTTATGTTTTTTAAATACAATTTTTACCTCTTTCATTTTTGTGTTACTTGAATTTACCTTGATGATTTTCTACCTTACCCATTTAGATTATACACATTCCCAACATCCTATTCATTTTGCGTACGACTCGCCTTTGTCATCGATACATACACACTCTCATATTAATATAGTTGTTTGCAATCATAGCTATGTATTTTATAGTCAGCTTGTTTTCACTAAAGCTACTATTTCAGTTGTCATAAACAGCTTTCCATGCTTCTACAGTCTTCATAATTACCACGTTAACGGCTGCATGTTATTCCAATGTAATATTGTACGACAATGTAGCTCAATGTCCTAAAGTGGAACATTTAGGGTTGTTTCCTTGGGGTTGGGCGCGGGGGGGGGGGAGGATGAGGCCATGAAGACTGGTAGGCTCGTAGTCTTGTTAGTTTCGCTTGTTTTGAATTGTATTCTGGGGTTCCATCTAGGAATCCCTGAGTCAGATTACAGACAAAGCGACCACCGAGCGCCTGCGAGACCTGGTCCCAGGATCCCTAGCGGCCGCGGCGGCGTCCTGCGGGATTGCGTGAGTTCTGGGAGGGGCAGAGCCTGTTTCCACCTCACCGTGCGTCACCGACGTCCTGCTCGCCTCCGACGCGCGGCGTGCGAAGAGCCAGTCGTTCGCCGGCTGGAGCTACAGGCACCAGAAGCAGCGACACGGGCGCGCAGGCCATGGTTCTTTGGGGTGTAGCTGCGCTGTCCGTGTTGAGCCCGCTACGCGCTGTGTGGCTCACACTGGATGTTACTACCGGGCTGGCCCTGCTGCTGCAGTTTGTGCCGCTTGGCTCGCTCCCCAGCAACGCGCTCTTCCAGGACCTGATCCGCTATGGGAAAACCAAGCTTGGAGGCCCACCACGTCTGGCTGCCTACCAGCGCTTTGATGTCCCCAAGAGGTAACTGCGCCGGGGGCGTGAGTCCTTCCTGGCAGGGCGCGGAGAGCCCGGGGCGCCCGTCTCGTGCAGCCGGCAGGGGGCAGCAGAGGCGGGCGCCGGGCCGGCGCGCGCGCTCGGTCCCGCTGGCCCGAGCGGGTTCCCTTACGCGGCGGCGGTATCTCGGCCGCGTTGCCGAGCACTGCCCGCGTGCGCTTCGTGACCCTGGTGGCAGGATGCTCCAAGTGTCCGCCGACATCGAAGAGCTGAGCTAAGCGCACTATCAAGCACGCAGGAACGTGAACTTGTGGCTGTACAGAGGCCTTTCCTCGGGGGAAATGGCAGAGCTTTTGAACTTAGGCTTGGTTTCCAGGCCGCAAATTGAAATCTCCATTGTCTCCAAATTCTCCCTTTCCCCTCCCCTGCACTCTTAAGAGCTCATAATCTAACTTGAGGTCGCCATAACTCACTAGAAATGAGTTCAGGCCCGCCCTTTTCGCCTGTTTCCCGGATCCTCGATCCTCCCAACCCTCCCAGTCCTGAGAAAGGGTGAGATGCTGGTCCCCACAGGCGGCCCCACTTCCTGCCGCTGCGCTGACCCTCAGAACGACCTCGGCAGATGACCCTGGAGAATATTACGTATGGTGGCACGTGTTAGGCAAAACTAATCCTGAAGCTCCATTTGACTTTTACCAGAACTCAACCAAAACCAACCATTAAGGAGTAAACCTTTAGGGTTTAAACAGAATGCTTTGAGAAATTGTAAGAGTTGTTACAGTTTGGTTTGGGGTTTGTTTGTTTTTTTTACTTGAATTCAGAACATAGCTGGTAAGAATCAGCCAAACATTTCTAGATGGTAGGAATATAGCAGTGGCTTTTATGTTTTAATCTTTAAGACACATCTTAAATTGTCATTTTGGAAGGAATCTGGAGGAGTGTGTTCTGAGTTCTGGCACAAAAATATTCTGGATCACCGAGAAGAAGAGACACAGTATATGTTTAATCCTCCTAATTCTAGGTCATCTTACTTTGTCACGGTCTAATGAGACTGCTTGATCTGTACATGATGCATTGAAGACTGAGGAAAAGCTCAATGACCTTCAGGCATTTTGCAGTCAGAATGATTCTGACTTGATGCAAATAGAGAAAAACAGCGAGTGACCCTCAAATGAACCTGTGCGCCATATTAGGTGATTTTGTTTCAGCAAACCAACATCATCTTTCACATCAAATTAACATTGCTAATTGTAATTGTTATTGGTTGTGGTTTTATTTCTATTTCATTCATAACTGTAATTCAAACTGTAATTTTTAATTGATTGCAAAATAGGCATTGTACTTTTATGAGAGTTGAAACTGGCAGGAGTTGATACCTAGTTTTATGAGTTAATATTTGTCATCTAAGTAATTTAGATCAACACAATTTAGAAAAACACTGAATCAGAAGACCTGTAAGATGTCCTACAGCCCTGAGAGCCGGTAATTGTGCACATCTTCCATAACAGCTCATGGCTATTGCAGCAATACTGCTCAAGTTTTAAAAATCTTTCACATACTTAGCTCCTGTCAGCAGTCTAGGATCTCTGCCAGCACCTGGAGCCACACCCTCCCCTGTCCCAACATACACACCCCATTTTGGAATTTGAAACCAATCCAGTTACCCAGAGATTAGAGAGATTACTAGTTGAAGTTCAATTAAATTTAACGTCAGGAGGCCTCTTTTTCCTATGAGTTAATCTGTCCCATCACTAGAAAGGGAGTTTTGAAATCTGAACACCTGTAGGATTCAGAGTCTATTAAAAAGCATAACCAGACCTTGGGGATGGGGAAAAGAAGAGAAGGACACTAAAAAATTGTCCATCTATCTGCATAAGAAGTGGCTCCACTCTGATGTTTGTCTACCTTGTTTTCCCTTTGCAGGTATTTTTCTCACTTCTACATCCTCTCAGTGCTGTGGAACGGCTTTCTGCTTTGGTGCCTCATTCAATCTCTGTTCTTGGGGGCGCCTTTTCCAAGCTGGCTCCACACTTTACTCAGGATTCTTGGGGCTGCGCAGTTCCAAGGTAATCACAGACATTGTGTCCTACTCCTGCCTTTCCTGCCTGCAGCGAGCTGTTCTCAGTATTTCATGCCACTCTCAGGCTCCTCCTTGCGGGTGAGAGGAAAAAGAGGGCTGCAGGGGTCATAGTCATCCCCAAGGGGATGTCCCCAAGTCTTTTATGAAGATCTTGGCAGAGCTTAGAGTTAGCTCTTCATCCCACACTTCCCAGCAAGCGCTGGGCTGTGTACGGGACTGGCTGTTCTCCCTCTGATATTTTTCATACTGTTGATACATTTGGACTTAGGGGAAAAGCTTTTAGGATTCCCTCGTGTTTGCCTTGAAGCATTTATCATTTATATAGTTCAGCAAAACTCATGTCTCAGAACTCCAGAAATTTGATATAAAATTACTTTTTGATCACTGGTTAAAAGTGTTATGCCATCATATGGCTTTGGTTTTATGATAAAATTGGCTATAAATAGTTGTTGACCAACTGATTACAAAACAGTTGTTAAATTTGTCCCAGATAAAGAACAATTTTAAAATAAGGAATTGAAGGTGAAAACAACAAAGTGGTCTTAGTTAATGTTAGGCAGCAGGTGAGGGACAGAATTATAAACAAGTTGTTCTGGTGACCTCTTTGTCCTTTGTCCCAGCAGCCAAACCATTGGCTCTCTAGGAACAATGCTTTTCTGTATAACCAGGGAACCTGTTGTAAAAGGTGACAGCCATAAGAGAAGACTTACACAAAACCTGTTTGGCAGGGGAGGATACCTCAGTGAATCCCATGTAATGCAGTCAAACTTCATTTCTCCATTTGCTTTGGTTTTTTTTCTGATGACACTTTTTTAAAGCACTTTACATTTTATTTTTCAATTATAGTTTACATTCATTATTATTTTGTATTAGTTGCAGGTATACAACACAGTGGTGAGACAATCATATACTTTACAAAGTAATCCCCCTGATATTTCCAGTACCCACCTGGCACTGTACATAATTATTACAATATTATTCATTATATTTCTCATGCTATACTTGACATCCCCGTGACTACTCTGTAACTACCAATTTGTACTTCTTAATCCCTTGACCCTTTTTACCCGGTCCCACAACCATCAGCCTGTTCTCTGTATCTATGAGTCTGTTTCAGTTTTGTTTGTTCATTTATTTTGTTCTTTAGATTCCACTTTATAAGTGAAATTATGTAAGCGAAATCATCTCTTCATTTATTTTTGTGGGACATGCTGGGGTTCTGGTATCTGGAGAGTTGGTTGTAAGTTTTATTTGGTTATTCATTTTAACCTAGTCCTAAAGAGTTTAAATTAGGTTTTACTATATTTAATATACAAAAACAGGCAAAGCTAATCTAAGCTGTTGGAAGTCGGCACAGGGCGTACCTTTGGGAGGGGAGGACGAGGGGCAGTGCCCAGAAGGGAACATGAGGGGTGCTGGTCCTGTTCTGTTTCTGGATCTGAGTGCTGGTTACAAGGGTGGGATGGGTTAGTTTAGGTAGTAACAATTCATTACATTGTATTCTTATTGTACCCTTGTGTGGAGCATGGGGGAATGTGTGTGATACTCACTTTTAAAAAAATTAAGTTTTATGTCATTTTAAAAGCCAGCATTTCTTCTGACTTCTTTTGGGGTAAAGGGGCGAGAGGCAGGTAGGAATATAGATCTCAGGGATCACAGTCCTTTAAAAGTATAATTTCTTTCTTTCTTTCTTTTTTTTTTTTTTTTTTTAGCATGGAAATGAATGCATAATTCTCCCCGTCGCAGTCACGGTTCCCTTTCTGTTTCTGTGGGTGCCCGTGTCTCTAGTTTCCCCGACCCTGGGCCTACCAGGCGGGGTTTCTCAGCAATCATCCCGGACCTCTTCCTGATGCCTTCATTAGTATCAGTGCCAGGGACCATAGCCCCACAGACCCTGGTTTCTGAGGGCGCAGACCTCCCAGTGACGCCCATGCCGTCTGGAAGAGACCCAACTTTGTCACTAGCTTATCGTGCAACCTTGAGTCAAATTTTTGACTTCACTTAGCCGACTTCCCCACTGCTTAAAAAAAAGAAAAGGAGGTGTTAGCTTAGATAATTTCTAGGGCCCTTTCCTAGCTCTCATTTTGTTTAATACTATGTGTAGCAGTAGGGAAAAACATAACAATGGATTAATCCTGAAAAGAGAAACGCTGAATGTGCTGCTTTCTAAATTGTAGGGGGTGAGCTGGCGCTGTCTGCATTCTTAGTGTTAGTGTTTCTGTGGCTGCACAGCTTGCGAAGACTCTACGAGTGCCTCTATGTCAGCGTCTTTTCCAATACCATGATTCATGTCCTGCATTACTGTTTTGGAATTGTCTACTATGTCTTCGTCGGCCTAACAGTGCTGAGTCAGATGCCAATGGACGGCAGGAATGGTGAGTGGGCCCTGGGGGCTGCTACCTGAGTTGCAGGGGCCAATGAGGTACCCTTCAGGCGAAGTGCTCCACCTAGCCTTGGGGATGATAAAGTGCCAAGCATTCAGGGCCGTGTAAGCATGGCGAAAAGGGATGTGAGGTTTCCCTCAACGGGAGTGAAGTCAGTGAACTCATGTGGAGTAAGTCTGGAAAGGAAGAGGAGTGTGGTCAAGAGCTGAAGGGGATGGGTCAAGTCAAGGAACATGTGTAAAGGGCCCATGGACAAGGACAGTGTGGGGGTGGGGGAGGAGTGAATGTGGGAGAGGTGGGGTGGGCAAGGCAGGGGAGAGCAACGGGGGAAAAATGGGGACAATTATGATTGAACAACAATCAACAAATTTTAATCAAAAGAATAAAAATAAAGCCAACTTCATAGAAAAAAATAGAATGCTTGTTGTCAGGTGCAGGAGGGAGGAGAAAATAGGTTAATATAGGTCAAAGAATGCAAATCTTCAGTTATAAAAAGAATGAGCTCTAAGGATCTGATGGAGAGCATGGTGACTCTAATTAATCATATGATATTGTACGCTTGCAAGGTGCTGAGTAGTTAAGCATTCTCACCACACACTCCAAAAAGTTAGCTGTTAGCTCTGTGGTGTGGATTGTTAATTGTGAATCTTGGTAATCATCCAATAATATATATGTGTATCATATGCTCACATTGTACATTTAACATACATGATTATATTTGTCAGTTATTTCCAATGATTCCTCAATAAAGTGTTTAAAAGAAAAAATAAATAATCTTAGAAAATTAAAAAAAAAAGAAAAGAAAAAGGAGTTGAACAGGAAGCAGGGGATACCCAAGGACAGGAGGAATGGTCAGCAAAGAAGTTGCTTCACCAAAGCCTCAGTCATCCTAGGATGTTTGTATAAAAAGATAAGGGGTGAGACCGAAGAAGGAGAAGGTGGGGTGCAGGGTTTAATCATAGAATAGCAGAGGAGGAGGGGGAGGCCTGGGCTCATGGTGCATGCTTGTGACTTGAAGAGGGAGTAGGGAGCCATTTGGCTGCTGTTTAGGTCTTGCGGTTGTTACCTTTACACAAAGCTTTTCTGTAAGAGAGGCCGCCTGAGGGGAGAGGACAGAAGAGCACTGTGGGACATCAGAATTGTGCCTTAACATTTTTGAGCTCTTACTAACCAGGGAGGGACCCAGAGTCATGACTTTTGTTGATGAGGAGGAAATGAAGTGCGGTATTTTTTTGAGCCTGTGTGAATATCTAACATATATGACTATCACTATAAGAATCAAGTTATTTTGGGTGATTGAAACGAATGCTTAGTGCTAAGGTTAACTTGACTTTGCAGCCTTAGTATCTGTCAGCCCAAACACTGGCAGGTAGATGATCTTTCCTGACTGCTTCCTCTCAGCCTGAGGCTTCGTACATTCATCCGCATGCACTGAGACCAAGATCTAGACATTTTCAGTCCTCAGTGAGCTTTCTCCTCGGGTTTGATATCAGTATCAGTGTGCCCCTTTTTCTTGCTGTGGTACAACCCAAGGCCTCTGTGGCTTAAGGAATGATTTTCAGGTACATCTTACTGATGATACTTCTCATTTCATGAATGATTGGCTCCAGCCCCTCAGCCAGCATCTTTCCATCGAAGTCCTCTGAACTTAATCAAGTCAGCTTTTCCTCCCTGAGCTTTCGGCTGTGGCATTCACGTTTGACCCAATGTCATGATTTGAGCTGTCTTTCCTGGTGAATGGCATGGGTTTTCCACCCACAGGACCTTGCCTAAGCACTTTGGTAACTCACCAACTTTCAGTCTGTTCGTTCCCACTGGCATTACCAATCTCTCCCTCCTGTGTAGATGATGAAAGAGAGGCAGCCGCTGCACCCACAAAAACAGCCTTCTAGACACTCCTTCCTGGAGCTGTCTTTGTGTCACCTATTTGTCCTTCAAGAGGTCACCTGTGGTCATTTGGGACAATATGGGGGGAAGTGGTTTCCGGAATTCATTGAGAGAGAATACACTGGCAGAAAAAACCTTGGGGATAAGATGGGCCTGAGTCTGAAGTCTGGTTTATTTAACCTCTCCGAGCCTCAGAACCTTCATCTGTAATCAGGGATATATACTGATTTCAGAGGGCTCTTGTGAAAATGAAAAGAAAGAATATCTGTAAATGAGCTAGATCTTCACATCTCCTTGCCTTTTTTGTCTAGAGAACCTCCCCCACCACTCTCCATCACACTGTTCTGTTGTGTTTTCTTTTCCTCAGAGTACCATCTCTGCCTGGTATTATCTGGCCTACTGATTTGTGTGCTCAAGTCTAGGAGCCATGGCCACTGGAATGTGAGTTCCTGAGGCCTGGGATCTTGCCTGAGGTACTCACTGCGTTATGCCTCATGCCTGTAACAGCACCAGGCTCAGCCGGCGCTCATTCAGTAACTAATGAGTAAATGAATAATTAAATACTACACAGGTTAGACTCTCAGTAAATATGGGCCTTCCAAGTGCTTCCCCTTTCCTGTGTGATAATTCCAACTTACTCTCACAGATCTTTTTTCCTCACAGGTAGTTTCTCTGCATTTATAGTAGGTAACTGGGTAGCGATGTGAACGCTCAGACACTTGCTTCAGCTTTCAGTCCTATAGTGACTTATTCTTAAAGCCCTTTCCATTTAAAGCGTGTTTTTCATATTTTGCTTGTTTTTAACTTAGAAAAAAATAACTTTTTAATTAAATGACTAACCCTAGTAGATATTAAGAGACTATAAGTAGATTGTTTCTATAGAGCAAGTTTTTAAAAGAAATTAATACAGGTAGACTTTGGTGGACTCTTCCTTAGTCATTAGCTGTCAGCTGAATCCTTCTTCCAGGTACCCACATGGAATAGCATGATCCTTGCTTCTCTCGCCTGCATCCACTTTGTAGAGGCTCGCTCTTGGCTCCAGAGCCTCAGGCTCGTCCCTGTTGTCAGTGGACAACTTTGTTTCTTGAACCAAGTCCCTGCCTAGGCTGACTGCTTCCTGCTGATCATAGGGAAGACTTCCATTTGCTTTTCCAATGCCAGTCTTTAAAAGGCCTACATTCTTCCAGATGATTGGAGAATAAAGAGGAAGATAATACCTCGAGTAGGTCTTTTCCTACAAATGAATCTCTCTGACTAGGTTCTGTCTAATCAGAAAGGGATACTGTGTTTTTCATCTTGGAGTTTATATTTCTCCTCTTTTTGAGAAGCCCCATCCTTAGCCTTCACTTCCAGTCATTTCCTTGGTCTATCAAGTCAGCGTTCCACCTTTAGGGTCTCCCTGACAGTGGCTGAGGACAGTAGCTCAGGGAGAGGTTTCAGAAAGTGTCCTCCTGACAGTAGAACAGAAGAAAGAAGGTATAAGACCAGGCTTAGAAATAGAAGCGCAGAGCTGCCTCACCACAAAAGAGACGGAGGCAGGGCTGAACTCTGTGCCTAAAGCATTTGAAGAAAGAACAAGAGAATGTATCCTTATGGAATTCTCAGCTCTGGGCCATTGAAGCTTCTCCCCCTGAGGAGTGACTCTCCTTGGTGTACTTACTCCTGTACTTGGCGAGTTCTATCAAGATAATTTCATATTCATGAGGAACAGAATAACTGAATAATTGTGTCTACTGACTGTATGAATTTTTAATTCCCCAAGCTTCTGAAATTTGGCAGCATTGGCTAATGAGATAATTCTTATTTCTGTAGTCTATGTAACAGGGAAAAACCTCTTGATGCAAGCTCGGTGGTTCCATATCGTTGGGATGATGATGTTCATCTGGTCATCTGTCCAGCAGTATAAGTGCCACGTCATTTTTGGCAATCTCAGGAAAAATAAAGCAGGTAAGGCATCTTGTAGAGCCACTGCATGTGGATTTTAATCCTCTGAAGTCACACCTGTTTATGTTCCTTCATTCTTTTCCTTCCTGCCTGCCCAAATCGGTTGACTAATGTATCAAATACTCATTTTTGGTAAGACACCACTCTGGGTCTTGATTTTCCCATCTGCACAATGAGAGCATTATAGTCAAAGATCTCTCTGGCCCCACTAGTCCTGGTTTTGATGATTCTATTCTGTGCCCACATTTTGGGGGCCTGCTTTGCACATACGTGTCCAACTGGTACATGAGCACTAGTATGACTGTGCTGTGTTAGTTTCATTACAGTTAAAGCAAAAAACTTGACTTTTTAGTTAGCTTATGTTGACTTATCACAGGTACAGTTCTTACTAGGCTTTTTGAAATGCTAAAAATGGAATAGTATTTATTGAGTGCTTATTTTGTGCCAGGTTGTATTCTGAGTGCTTTACATATAGCTTCACAATGCTCACTTGAGATGGGTACAGTCTTATCTTCATTTTACAGATGAGGAAATTGAGGCGTAGAGTGGTTAAGCAAGTTACATAGCTAGTAAGTATAGAGCCAGGATTTGAACGTGTGCAGTCTCACTCTGGAGTCTGAGCCCTTTTTTTTTTTTTTAAATGTTTACATCAGTAAAGTGAAACTACATTTTAAGAGACACTGGATGTCATTAGTTTTGATGTCATTAGTTTATTATAAAAGAGATACATAAATTATTTACATGGTGAAAGATTTCAGAATTTCGGTAGAATGGGCAGCTTCACATGATGCCATTTCAGTAATGATTTATTTCAGTTGCCATACTTTCCAAGAACATTATCATCTCTAAATAAGAAATAATCCTGCCCTGGACGGGTAGCTCAGTTGGTTGGAGCATCGTCCTGTATACCAAAAGGATGTGGGTTCAATTCCCACTCAGGGCACATACCTAGACTGCAAGGCACAAACGGGAGGCGACTGATAGATGTTTGCCTCTCACATTGATGTTTCCCTCTCTCTCTCCCTACTCCTCTTTCTAAAGTCAATAAAAGCATGCCCTCAGTTAAGGATTAAAAAAAAAAAGACTAGAAAAAGAAATAGTCCTTGTTGTCTAGAACTACTTTGGTGCCTTCATATTCTGGAAGAACTTTTATCTCCAACTTTCACAGTAACTGGTTGAATCTCTCTACCCGTTCCTTTGGAGCCTGAACTAAAGTATCGAAACAAAAGTGTTGCTTGCGATACCTTTCCTTGAAATTTTTTTGGAAGGATAATGCTTTCTTTGATGATAATTTCCACACCATTCCTTTTAACTCATACTCGATCAAACAAAACTTTCTAAACACTTGCCCTGCCTTGACTCCGTTGGTACCCTGCTCTCATGCCCAGCCTCAAGGAAAGAGACCTGCAGTCTGGCTGCGGGCCCCCAGAGCTGCAGAAAAGGCTGGCCAGAGCACCAGGGGCACTGCCCCCTGCCTTCCACCCCTGGTGGGTGGGAGGTGGGAGGTTGAGGGGGAAGGTCCACCTCATTGGCCCAGGAGGCCTTTCTTCCCCAGGGCTTTGCACAGAGCACTGATAGGATGACTGGGAGGTGGAAGAAAAGAGGAGGCCTTTCCAGGCTTTTGGGAATCTGAACTCTTAATTTCTAGCTTGGGGGATGGTTGGCATGACAGGCTTTCCTTTTGTGCTTATTTACACGTGGTAGTGTAACCTAAGCAGCGGTGTTTTCACGCGTCATAGATTGACAGTGGAAGTGTGCTATATTGGTGGTTTGCACACAGGTCTGTCATACTCTTTTCTAAATAAAACTCTTTGTAAATGAGTTGGGGACTGATATGGTCAAACTTTCTTTTCAGAGCTTCATATGTTCAGGAAGTTTTCTTTTTTCATTCCAGGAGTGGTCAGTCACTGTAACTACCAAATCCCTTTTGGAGACTGGTTTGAATATGTTTCTTCCCCAAACTACTTCGCAGAGCTGATGATCTACATTTCCATGGCTGTCACCTTTGGGTTCCTCAACTTAACCTGGTGGCTAGTGGTCATGTATGTCTTCTTTCTACATGCCCTTTTTGCTCTCCTCAACCACAGATTTTACAAAAAGATGTTTGCCTCCTATCCGAAACATAGGAAAGCTTTCCTACCATTTCTGTTTTAAGATTATCTCAGTAATGAAGAATGCAAGCCAGGTGACAAGCTCAATCCCTAAGGGCAACCAAGTCTACAGACCAAAGTGCAGTTTCTGCAGAACTGTTTGAAATTCTCTATTTTTATACCAAAAAGCCTTCACTGAATGAGAAAAGCAGTACCCTCAAGGGAATGAAACTGCGAAGAACTACTTCTGGAAGACCCGGGAATCCTGTATCTGCTTTCCGAAAGGCTTTTTAAAACCAACAGACTGCTGAAAACTGGGTGAAACTTCTTGAAGCTAGCTACTTCAAAGCAAACTAATCAAGAACATGCAGACAACTTCAGACATACAGATGCAGATGCAGAGGAAGAGGTAAGATCATCTGTGGCTTTGTTTTCGTTAGGAACAAGTGAACTGAATTTCATGATAAGGAATATAATAGGTACTCAGTAACTGCTGCATTTCAGTAAAAACAGAATAGCTTTTGAAAATAACAATATATAACTTCGCACCAAAGGATGCAACGAATGATGAGTTACTTGAAGTTAATTTTTATTTTCACCTATTGCCACAAAGATTTCTAGTTATGGGATCATGACTGTCATTTCCATTCACCTACCCCTCATATCATAGCCCATAGAATGAAACCTCTTCTATTTAATACTTTTTTGCTATGCCTTAAAAATGAAAGCATCTGAAAATGAAGTAGTTTTCTATTCCTGTATCAAAAACCTTCATGAATGGAACTGACTTGCATTCTGGATTAGATAGTGCTGTAGTCTAATTCATATGTAATTATTCAAATTGGATTAATGTCTGCCTGAGTTTATTTTAATGAATGGAATCAACGTGGTGTTATTTATGAGTAAAATTTATACTTAAAATATCATATTAAAATACCCATGATTAAATCAAAGGGAAATAAATGCATTATTTGGGGGGGGGGGGTGGGAAACCTTGAAAAATAATTCTATAGCCTGAACAGCGCAGCAAAAAGTTCACATTCATCCAACATAAGATTAACTGGTTTATTGACTGAGGTATTAACTTTATTCTGTTATGTATGTATAATATTATAGTCTACTGGGTACTGAAATATTGCACTCATTTGTCCCTTGCTATGGAAAAAGGAACCTAATTATTAACTAGGTGCATATCAAACACTCAATCTAAGAATATCCTCCCCTTTTTTACCCCAGAGTAGTAACCCAAAACTGTTAAACTGAGATTCTTTTTACTCTAAACTTTAATATATGCCTCTCTAAGCACATGCCAAAGTTCTTTTTTTTTAAAAAAAAAAGGATTGTTTAAAAATTGAGAGAGGAAGGAAGGGAAAAATAGATGTGGGAAAGAAGCCCAATACAAGAACCTGCAAGAACATGAAAACTAGATCCACAAATCTCTCAGTGTGCTCTGGCCACTTAACAAAGTGCCAGAGGCGAAGGCTAAGGCTGTCAGCTCCTTTATTCGGCAGGGAGCCACAGAGTCATACATAGATTTTACAGATCAATTGCAGGAGGCTATTCAGAGACAGGTAGAAAGTCAAGAAGCTGCAGAAACCCTTTTACTGCAGCTCGCATATAAGAATGCTTATGATTGTAAGGCAGTACTGGGCCCCGTTAAACTTATGACCACTGATATCAGCCAGTATCTTAAGGCCTGTCAGAATGTTGGCACAAGTGCCACCATGCCACCTTACCTGCTGCAGCCTTTAAAGGAGAAATCAAGTGCTTCAAATGTACCGTTCCTGGCCATACTCACAAGATTGCCGCTCGAAAGGCCCAGTTCAGAATAGGGCTCCACCTAGCAAGAACTGTCCACATTGCGCAAAAGGAAAACATGGGCCAATCAATGTAGATTGAAATTTGACAAGGATGGAAAGCCCCTTTCCCCTCAGGGAACCTTGTTGCACTGTGCGGTGGCTAGACGGGGTATACTGCTGCGGGGGAGCCCCCCTGGGGTCGCCATGTTCAGGCCCTGGCAGCACCGCCCCGTGGGGGCGGGGCAGGAGCATGCCACAGGGAGTGCAGCGCTCCCTGAATCTGAGGGAAACTGTCGGGGGCCAGCTGAGATGGGAGCAGGGCTCTGAATTCCGCGGAGCCTGTCCTGGGGTTGTCATGGATGAGGGGAATAAACATGAATCATTGCAAACACTTCTCTGTTTGCCAGAAGAGCAGACGTGGGCCTTTCCCGCTTAGTGGAGAAGCCCGTGGCACCTTCCCTCTAGTGGAGAAGACCCCATCGCCCTTTTTTCCAAGGCTTTTACTGAAAAGCTTATCAGTGAGGCTAGGTAACAGGAATGCATAGGTTATCTCATTACATTAGTATGGTAAGTTTCACAAAGAATGCATGATGCTCTTAAGAAAACAAATGGCAGGAACACACTGATTTACATGTGTCTGAGAGGAGACTAGTATAAACGAGAGAGACTAAAGAGCAAAGTAGGCATGAGGGCACCTAAGGATATAGGGTAAGGTCTGTAAATAATGTAAATATCCTTCTCAGCATGAGGTGGCCAGAGCTTTGAGGGAAGAACAAAGCACGCTATTAAGAATTTACTTTTAGGCCTGATTTCCTTGGCAACCGCCAGATATGATTTAGGGCTGATTCCTGCACCTTTTCGAGCCTGAGCCAGGTGTTGAGAGGGAACCACCAAGAGATAAGGAGACTACTTTCGGCTAGAATGAAGACTTTGGCCATGTCCAAGCCAAGCTGAGAGGTATGGGGTTTTTTGCCCTTTCTCTGTGTCCCCCAGTTTCTTGTCTGCTGCCCATAATCGGCCAATGCCTGGCTTAGGTGGTCCTTCCCTCGAGAGGTCTTACCCGTCATTGACAAGGACCCTTACAGGGCAAAGCAGAGAGTCAGGGGCTAGGCTCCTGCCAGGGGGAACAGGTTATGTCTCCTCAGGAGCCTGTTTCTCCAAGGCCTCCTGATTATTTCCACCCTTGGGGACCTCCAGCCTGCTGGCAGGGTTACAGTTCCTGAAACTGTAACGGGGCACAGCCAGGGCCCCCCCACAGGGGCTATTTGTAGTGGGGTCTGGAGATTGGGGTGTCCAAGAAAAATATATGCTCCCTACCCCAGGGCGGGCCGCCATGAGGGATAGGAGCCTTGAGCAGGGCCATTGAGAGTCATTTTGCATGTCAATAACAGGATAGCTTCATTCCTCATATGCAAAAAGGGTTATTTTGCATATCACCAAAGCTAATCAGGAAGGTTTAAAAGACTTAATGCAGAATGTAACTAGAAAGGAGGAGGAGAGACGGGGGCCTGGAGGAGAGAACAAGGGACACAGTCTCTGGGAAATAGTGTGAAGACCACGTGGGGAGAAAGGGGAGAAAGGACTCTTGCTAGTGGGCCAGGAGACGGTGCCACATGGTTATGGATTAAGAGCTGGAGATTGTGGCAATGCAGCGGATGGTGCTGAGACCCGCGAGAGGCCTGCCTAGCCGAGCCCCAGACTTCTGTTCCTTTTCTTCTGAAGGACGGTACGCCTGACAGGCCTGACTGGCCTAACTGGGAAAACGGGGGTGAGGCAGGACGGTGTGTGTGCTGGTGATTGCTTTAAAGGGATTTGGGGGTTTAAGGGTGACATTTAGCCATTAACCAAACCTGTATAACTTTTGAATAAATAGTTCCTTTCCTTTTCACCAAACTCTGCCATTCAGAGCCATAATTCCAAGGGCAGTGGACAAAGGACCTACAACGGAGGGACCCCAGGGAAGGGGGGTGTCGTTTTGGTAATAGCATCTGGGCATCCCCCCTCCACGAGTCCATTTGTTCAGTAACAAAACCAGACAGGGCTTTTTCCCAACAGAAACGAAACGAAGAGGGGTCCAATCAGGGATATCAGGCTCAGGTCTCTTCTGAGTCCCAGATCTCCAAGCCGCCACAAGGAGAAGCACAGGACTGGACATTGCCACTACCCAAGAGCTCATTTTGAAAGAACAAGGTAACTATTGCTCCCGCAGGAGTCCAGGGGCCATTACCATGGGGAACAGTTGGGTTGATATTAGGAAGATCGAGCCTCAGTTCAGGGAATTTTAGTTCAGCCTGGGGTAATTGACTTGGACTATTAAGGAGAGATTAAAATAATGACTAGGGCCCTCAGGTTTCCTGCAATACCTGCTCAGACCCATGTTGCCCAACTCTTCCTCCTTCCTTATACAGTTCTACAGGTTCAAGACATTAACAGAGAAGGAGGTTTTGGCAGCACTGGCAGTCAATTTATTGGACTGCCTCTATTAAATAAACCTGTTCTTGAGGTGAAAATTAAGGATAACATCTTCCAAGACCTATTAGACATGGGTGCAGATGTCTCCATAATTCCTAATTCACAGTGGCTCCCCGATTGGGCGTAGGAGAGGCCAACATCTCCATAACCGGCATAGGAGGCATCTCTGTGCCACGAAGGAGCATTTGGACCTTCAGGTGCTACAGTCCTGATGGGCAGATACAACGCACTCAACCCTATGTCCTCTCTGGTCCATTTAACATCTTGGGGAGAGATCTCCTTACTCAGTAGGGAATGCAAATTACTCTTCCTCCTTTTCCCTGGTGGCCACTGTTCAGATATCTCCTCTACCTCTCACCTGGTTATCAGGCACACCAGTGTGGGTCCATCAGTGGCCACTGAAAGGGGAGAAATTGCTCAGGACACAAGAACTTGTCCAAAAAAATTAGAAGAAGGGCATATAGAGCCAACCAGTAGTCCCTGGAATACTCCCATTTTTGTTGTCCCCAAGAAGTCAGGCAAGTGGAGACTCATTCATGATCTCCGAAAAATTAATGTGCTCCTACACCCTATGGGCTTCCTTCAACCGGTGTGTCTCATCTTGCCCGCCTACCCAAAGATTGGCGGCCTTTAGGAACTGATCTAAAAGATTGCTTTTTTATTATTCTCTTAGCTGAGAGAGCGAGGAAGTGGTTTGTCTATTCTGCTGCAGTCATCAGTAACTCTCAGCCACTCCAGAGGTTTCATTGGAAGGTCTTACCCCGAGATTGTGGTAAATAGCCCCACGGTTTGCCAGCATTTCGTTCATCAAGCTTTACTGCCTATCTGCCAACTGTTCCCTGATTCAATTACATATCGTTACATGGATGACATCCTAATAACTACTCCTTCCTCTATGCAGCTAACTGAAGTTTATACCTACCTCCAGGAGGCAGTATCTCAGGTTGGGTTGATTATTGCCCCTGAGAAAGTTCAATATTCAGACCTTGGAAATATTTAGGCCTATTCTTCTTCTACCAAACAATTCGGCCACACACGGTACAAGATCACGCCTCCAAGTCCTCTTACTCTTAATTCTCTCCAACAATTGTTAGGGGTTATCAATTGGCTATGACCCAGTCTAGGAATTATGACTCATCAGCTTACCCATTTGTTTAATACCCTCAAGGGGGGCCCTGATCTGAATTCTCCTTGGGTCCTATCTCCCCAGTCTTTACAAGAGCTTAGTCTAGTTAATCAACATATTGCTAATAGAAAACTTACCAGAGTAAACAAACAGTATCCAATTAGGCTGTTTTATTTTCCCACCTTAGGGACTCCCACTGGCCTAATCGGCTAGCTTTTGCCTCAGTTAGGAATGATTGAATGGCTGTTCCTCTCCCATTGTAGAGGGAAGACCATGACCCTGGAAGCAAATGCCATTTTGAGCCCGGCTGACACATTAATGAATTTCTTCACCTTCTGTAACCTACTTCATGCCAAAAGCAATGCCCCGCCCCATAGAATCCTTCCCACTTAAGCCAAGCATAAAATAACTCTAGGATAGTAATTTGGGGACCAGACTTTGCCAGGTTACTCCACTGGGCCCACATGCGTTCCCTTCCCTTCACTGCTCCTGGTGTCGACGGAGTCCTTTCCTGATCTGCTGTAACGCCATC